TCCAGCCATTCGTGACAACACGGATGGACATTGAGGGTATTATGCAAAGTCAAATAAGTCAGAGGGAGACAGTCAAATACCGTATGATCTCATTCATTAAGTAGTAGATAATAACAACAACAAACAAACACATAGAGACAGAGATTGGATTGGTGGTTACCAGAGGGGAAGGAGGGGGGAGGAAGATGAAAAGGCTAATTAGGCACATGTGTGTGGTGATGGATGGTACTTAGTATTTGGGTGGTGAACATGAGAAAGTGATGTAATCTATGCAGAAATAAGTATAATGATGTACACCTGAAATTTATACAATATTATAAACCAATGTTACTGCAATAAACAAAAAATTAAAGAAAAAGAAAAGAAAGCATTTCAAAATATACAAGGTTTTAGAGATTTTACTGTTTACATGCTGTTTATAACAAAACTAAAGTAAGTAGTTATGCCAAAATAACAATAGACACAAAATAGAGAAAGTGAGATGCAAAAGTGGGAAAAAGAGGACAAGGCAAATAAACATTGGAAAACTATTTCTTTATATACATGCACATGTACATTTATATTTAAGGAAGCTGAAACAAAATATTTGGAGTGTTTCTGTGTGTGTGTGTGTGTGTGTGTGTGTGCCTGTGTGTTTGAGAGACAGAAAGATTTTGAAAGAAAGTTAACTACTAAGAGTTCAGCTAATGTATAATGGATTACATCAGAATAAAAAAAGCAGACAGAGAGAGAGCTGTCAGCAGGATGGCAGAATGAGTTCCTACCATCATGCCCCCACAGAACAATGACTTTTTCTATTATTTTATTGAGGTAATATTGGTTTATAACATTGTGTAATTTCAGGTGTACATTATTATATATCCATTTCTGTATAGACTGCATCGTGCTCACCACCAATAGTCTAGGTTTTATCCGTCACCATATATATGTTCCCCTTTACCCCTTTCGGCCATACCCCATCCCTCTTCCCCTCTGGTAACCACGAATCTGTTCTTTCTATCCCAGTGTTTGTTTGCCTTCCCCATATGAGTGAAATCATACGGTGTTTGTCTTTCTCCGTCTCACTTATTTTGCTTGACACAATACCCTCAAGGTCCATCCGTGTTGTTGCAAAAGGGACAATTTGTCTTTTTTATGGCTGAGTAGTATCCCATTGTAGATATATACCACATCTTCTTTATCCATTCATCAGTTGATGGGCACTTGGGTTGCTTCGACATCTTCACTATTGTGAAGAATGCTGCAATGAACAAAGGGTGCATAAATTTCTTTGTATTGTTGACTTCATGTTCTTTGAATAATACCCAGTAGTGGGATAGATGGATCCTATGGTATATCTATTTTTAATTTTTTGAGAAATCTCCATACTGTTTTCCATAGTGGCTACACCAGTTTGCATTCCCACCAGCTGTGTATGAGAGTTCCCTTTTCTCCACAGCCTCTCCAACATTACTATTTTTTTGTCTTGTTAATTAAAGCCATTCACACAGGTGTAAGGTGATATCTCATTGCAGTTTTGATTTGTATTTCCCTAATGATTAGTGATGTTGAACATCTTTTCATGGGCCTGTTGGCCGTCTGTATATCTTCTTTGAAAAAATGTTTGTTCATATCTCCTGCCCATTTTTTTTATTGATGTCTTAATAGTTTATAACATTGTGAAATTTTGGTTGTACATTTTTGTTTGTGAATCAACATATTCATGTCTCCCTTCACCCCTTGTGCCCACCCGCCACCCCCTTTGCCCCTGGTAACCACAATACAGTTCTCTCTGACTGTGTGTTTATATGAGTGAAATCATGCAGTGTTTGTCTTTCTCTCTCTGGCTTATTTCACTTAACATAATACCCTCCAGGTACATTCATGTTGTTGCAAATGGGACAATATTGTCTTTTTTATGTCTGAGTAGTATTCCATTGTGTATATATATATACCACATTTTCTTGATCCAGTCATCATTCGAGGGACACTTGGGTTGCTTCCACTTCTTGGCTATAGTGAATAATGCTGCAATGAACATAGGGGTGCATAAGCCTCTTTGGATTGTTGATTTCGGGTTCATTGGATAGATTCCCAGCAGTGAGATAGCCGGATCATAGGATATTTCTATTTTTAAATTTGAGGAATCTCGATACCGTTTTCCATAGAGGCTGCACCAGTTTGCATTCTCACCAGCTGTGTATGAGGGTTCCTGTTTCTCCACATCCTCTCCAACATTTGTTGTTTTTTGTCTTGGTGAGTATAGCCATTCTAACAGGTGTGAGGT